GATACATTTTTTTTTTTTTCTTTTTATAAAATATCTATATTTATAAAAAAATTTTAAATCCCTTTTTTAGTTTAAACTTAATGGATACAAACCAATAGATTGGATTAATTAATTGTTTAATTGTAAAACTTGTTTAAACTTGTTTACAAGCTTACACATCCCCTGTAATCACTGTGCCTAATATATTCAGCACAAATGTCTGTTCACTTTTCAGAGCACCGTCAGTCAAATCCATTCCACTTGAGGAATGCCCTAATAAATTAAACTCCATTCCGTGTTTTAGCTGAAACTCAAATCTTTAGAATTTTGAGTAAAATATGAAAAAGACATGTTTTCGACATCATTCATAAGATTCATGGAATCAAAGACCCTCCCCTTGATAAATCGTAAGGGGTCACTGGATCATTTGAGATGCATGTGAATGTCAGGCGTAAAAGACGATGTGCTCGGCTGACCATTTGTGACCAGATCACTTGAATGTATACAATAAGGGCAGAGATAGCAAGTGTACACTACACGGACACACTAGAGGTTTAGTGTCTGAGTTCAGCTGTGCTATTCATGTGATGCTGGTCCGTTTCCAGGCGGAGGGACTCTTGAGTTGATTTCAAAGGACTAAGGATCAATTGAAAATAAATCACGGTAAATGATGATCCCCACCGTCCTGTAATCATATCGTGAAAAGATTAAATAAAAATGCCCTCTCCTGTTACGCGTTTCATCATGACCACTTGAAATGAATGCAGCTAATATCATCGATAATGAAAGTTATAAATAGTATGTTAATGATAACCGTAATTATTAATATTGCAGCAGGAATGATAATGGTGACAAAGGTAATGATTGCACATGTTGACAATTATCATCCTGGTTGTGGCTGTAATTATTTATAATGAAATCTGAGCTGTAAATCAGCAAGACTATGTTCATAATTGCATGCTACTCCTACTATCTTTCCAATATACTGTGTACAGTATGCACATTTTATGCATGAGATACCCGTACAACATTGGTCAAAATGTATACATGCACAAAATTACATGCAAAATTTCTGTTATGCAGGATGTCCAAACACAATCAAGTGATGTATGTGGAAGTGATGTATTTCATGAAAACCTGGCCACATAAAAAAAAAAAAAATTGCATAAAGAAAACAAAGCATAGTAAGTGATGTGGCCAAACCACATGAAAACCTTTCACCACAAAATCAAAAGGAAAAAAATAAATTTTACATAAATAAAATATAAAAACAAATATTTTGCATAAAAACAGAAAATCTCACAAAAACCTGGTCACATTTCATCTGAAAAATATTAATAAAATAATATTAAATAATAAATAAATAAATACAAGAAAGAAAAATTATATATATATGGGAATTCAATTGCAGTAAAAAAAAAATGTAAAAAATGTTGTAATATAATGATTTTTATCAACATAAATTAAGGGATACCACCAAAATCTATACATTTAAGTTGAAATATTATATAATGTAAAATAACAATATAATTATTATTTTCTTTACATTATGGTATAGTTTTGGCATTATAGTAATGAGGCTTTACAGTAAACACATTAAAAATGTGGTTAATTGTGATGAATATCATGAATTTTCCTGTCTCATGTTTATGACAATTACCCAAATTTCCACCAAAATAAAAGTTCAGAACACATTAAGCTGCGTAAACAGTTTCCCAAAATGCAACATGCTTAACTTGACCTTAATTTACAGAATGACATGAACAAAATGACAGCAGTAATACTCACACTTGAAGTCCTTCCAGGTGACCGTCGGCTCCGGTCTGCCCACCGCCAGGCAAAAAAAATTCACGTCATCGCCTTCATTCACTGATTTATCCTGCGAGATGTTCACTATCCGGGCCGGCACTGCAAAAGAGATGTTTTAATTATGCTTAATAATAACAGAGTGAATATATTACGGCTTAACTGATGTCAAAAATCAGCCTTAGTTTAGCCAAATACAAGTTGGGTTGTTTGTTTCAGTGGTTATAAATGATTCCAATCAGCTGTTTTGGCCTAAATTCCTAAAGCAGAGGGCAATGCATAATGCCGGATGGATAATGAGCCGGCCCTTGAATCTTAATGGCCTATGATCAGAGCTTTAATGAAGATGGCCACAAATTTGGCCTGCGAGGCATTCTCAAGCAGCAATTTTTCAGGTTTCTAACAGGGCGAAATACTTCCGACGATAAACTTAAGATTGGAAACTAAAGCAGATCCATTCCTTTTGGAGAAGTGACTGGGGGGTGTAATTATTTTTGCTCATATCGCACTAAGACTAAAATTGAGGGCACAATGGTATCGAGCAAATATGGTCATCTGTCTGCAAAGCTCCGTGCGGCAGATAAAAGCCTGTGTTTGGTGAGATGGTTCTGGCCTGCCGGTTGGCCAACAATGTACTTGAGATGCATTTTGAACACGCTTCCCCTCCTTTTCACACTTCTTCGCTTTGGTATTTTCAATCTTGTGCAACAGGAAAGTGCACCATGCATGGCGCCATATACATAACAATTGACAACTTTCAGCCGGCGGGGTTGGAGTAAAGGGAGGGATGCTAGCAATCCATCAGCGGATCGGTCTGCTGCCAATGAATCACGCCAGTCTGGATGGCTGGAGCTCTTACTCATGTTGCTGTTGACGTGACAGTTGGCACGGCCCCTGTCCTGCCCCGCACTGCCAGTCAACTAAAGGCCTTCTGGAAGATTACCGAGCAGAACCACCCCTCTGATCCTGATCACATCCGTGTCAGCCCCTCTTATTTCTTTGGGACTGGCATTAGAGGAATTGTTCGTTTAGATACTGTGCAATTGCTTCTTATGAGGTCCATGGCAGAAAGAAGAACATCATGGCACATGTTGACAATTATCACCCTGTTGTGAATGTAATTATCTGAGCTGTAAATCACTAAGACTATATTCATAACTGCATGCTACTCCTACTGTTTCTGCAGTATAAAGTACTGTGCACAGTATGCACTTTTTATGCATTAAACAACATTGCATTGCATTTTTACGACCAACATTGGTCAAAACGTGCAATATACAACCAGAACATACACTGTTTTTAAAAGAATATTGTTTGATCAAAAAATGTGGAAAATGCCATACATATACATTTTTTAATTTTTAATTTTTTTAATGCAGCATGTCCAAACAAAATTAAGTGATATATGGGCAAATCTCATGAAAACCTGGTCACATCTCACTACAAATTCTAAATAAGAAATGATATTTTGAATAAAAAAATCAAAACAGCATTCGCAACTTTATATATCTGAATTAAAATTGTATTTTTTGCAATTTTGAGTTTATATCTTGGAATTTTGAGTTAACTTTTCACAATTCAGATTTTGTTTTCCCTCATGATTGTGAATCATTCAAAAGTTTTTTTTTAAATAAATTAATATTTTTATTCAGTATGGATGCATTACATTGATCAAAAGTGACAGTGAAGACATCTATAAAGTTACAAAAGATTTCCTTTTTAAACAAATGGTATTCTTTCTGTTCATCAAATAATCCTGAAAAAATGCAGAAATCACAAACATGTGAAATCAGCATATTAGAATGATTTCTGAAGGATCATGTGACACTGTAGACTGGCGTAATGATACTGAAAATGCAGCTTTGATCACAGGAATAAATTACATTTTAAAATAGATATTCAAATAGAAAACAGGTATTTTAAATTGTAATCATATTTCACATTTTTACTGTGTTTTTGATCAAATAAATGCAGCCTTGGTGAGCAGAGACTTCTTTCAAAAACAGTAAAAAATCTTACTGACACCAAATTAATTTAAACTGTAGTTCATGTACAGTATATCTCACAATTCTGACTTTAATTGTCACAATTTTAAGATATAATGTCATATTGTGAGATATAAAGTCACACTGTGTGACATATTAAGTCAATATTAATAATGTATTATATTATTGATATTAATTCAAACTAAAGTCAGAACTGAGAGATTTTCAACATTGGCTACTGGCAACTTTTTTTTTAATCTCTACAGGCTTCTGTAGAAATACTGATCACAAAATGTACACATTTCTGCCAATTACTTATTTTTCTGAACAACTGAATCAGGGGGAAACCTGTTTTAGAAACCATTCATATATTTGCAATTATTTTTGTGTTCATTAGCGATGGAAAAATGTCACATTTAAGCGGCAGGCAGATGAACATACCCTGAACGATGAGGTAGACGTGGGCCGTACGGGGCTGGTTTTTGGCCTGGAAGCTGCATGTGTAGGGTCCCTCGTCTGCCACCATCACTCGCTCAATCTTAATGGAGAAGTCGCTGTTGTTGTTGTTCACCAGGGAGACGCGGGAGTCCAGGGACCACTTATCTGTGCCCGTAAATAAGATGTTGGAGCGGTTCAACCATGCCTTGTGAGTGACCTCTTCGTCTATCTTACATCTAAGAAAGAGAAGAGATTGAAAAGAACAAGTTTGTGGCAGATACAATTGACTCGTTTGAGAGCATTTATTCACCTTGACGTGAATAAAAAGAAGGTTGTGAGGGGCAGATGTGTGTTAATGTTCACAGATGACATTTTTCCACCCAATTTTCTCCCTCAAAGCCTCGTTTTCATTTGTTTCAAATAAAATATTGCCTCTACAGACTAAGTTCTGTAGCAAATTACTGTGCTGTCATTAAATGAGCGCTAGTACAAAACACTGCATGAAACTTTTTGTGCATTAATAAAATATACAATATACAATATACTAAAAAAAAAACAATGGATTTTTTTATTTTTATTTTTTACAATTACTCATATTTCCACCAAAATAAAACATTGGCCACATTTCACCACAAAATCAAAAGAAGAAAATAAATTATATTTTGCAAAAGCAAAAGCTTTTTTTTTTATGAAAATGTCACATATTTCCATCAAAATAATTTATAATTTTAAACATATTTCCATTTCAAAATAAAATGTCACATTTCACCACAAAATCCATTGGTCACATTTCACCACAAAATCTAAAGAAGAAAATAAGAAATCATATTTTGCATAAAGCAAAAGCTTTTTTTTTTTAATGAAAATGACACATATTTCCATCAAAATAATTTATCATTTTAAACATATTTCCATTTCAAAATAAAATGTCACATTTCACAACAAAATCTCTCTCTCTCTCTCTCTCTCTCTCTCTCTCTCTATATATATATATATAACAAAGCTTTTTGTTTTTGCTTTTTTTATGACAATTACTCATATTTCCACCAAAATAAAACATTGGTCACATTTCACCACAAAATCTAAAGAAGAAAATAAGAAATCATATTTTGCATAAAGCAAAAGCTTTTTTTTTTTAATGAAAATGACACATATTTCCATCAAAATAATTTATCATTTTAAACATATTTCCATTTCAAAATAAAATGTCACATTTCCACAAATAAGTTGCATAAAAAATAATAAAGAAAATATATAAATAAAACAAAGGGTTTTTTCCCTTTTCTTTTGCATGTTTGCATTTTTTATCAGAATGACAAACATTTAGACCAAAATAAAATATTGGTCACATTTCACCACAAAATCAAAATTAATAAAAAAAAAAAAATATATATATATTTTGCTTAAAGAAAACAAAGCATATTTTAGGACTACTAAAATTTTAAGAGACGTACTTCAATCAAAAATGAGGTGAAGCGTGTCATTTAACGTGAATAAAAACAAGGGCTTGAAGGGTAGACGTGTGTTAATGTTCACAAATGACACCCCTCCCTCCATTCCTATCCCTCAAAGCTTTGTTTACATTTGTTTAAATAAAATATGGAGTCTATAGATTGATTTCCATAGACAATTACTGTGCTGTCATTGAATGAGCGCTAGTATGAAACTCTGTCAATGTTTCTTTTGTAATCGTTACAACTCGCTCATAAGGTCTGGGTCATTAACTAGCTCATTAAGCTGACTAACCAGACCAGAGGTGATTGCTTTCAAAGCACACAGTGCCACAAACATACAGTGACTAGACCAGAAAAGCCCAAACTGCCATCTAAAAAAGTGGTGTGATGTTTATCAATGCACAAATAATCAATATACATACATGAATCCTCTACTGCATGATGCCTCAAGGTAACAAATGTATTTTATTGTGTTTTATGTGGTTTATTTTATTCCAAGCACATAAAATGGCAATTAAATGGTTAATATTGAAGGGATGGCTTTTAATAAACCAATAACAAGCTTTTTCTTTGTCACTATGTCCTGGCAGGCGTGTTCAAATCTTTTTCTGGCACTGTACGCCATGTGGAGGATGCATTTTTGCTCTGGAGATCTGCCCTCACAAAAGCTTTTTTGCTTCATCCAAAATATGATTTCACATTTGCTGATGAGTAAACCCCATTTTAAAACATTTAGAGTCATATATATTATTTGTCATGAAGAATTGCTGAAATATATTTGTTGCCTTGAAGCAACATTGTGTGGGAGTGGAACAGATATGGATGCAGCTGTTATAGAGAATATTGCAGTTATCGTATGTTTTTTATTTATATTTAAATAAAAAGTATTAATATTTACTTATATTTTTATATTCATTTCTTTAGGTAATTACTTTTTTTTTAAGTAATCCCAATTCCAAAATAAAACTTTTCTTATGCATGAAAACTGAAACAAGCATTTTTTATTTTGTTACTTTTTTTTCATAATGCATGCAGCAATATCATTCTAGGTTCATTTCAATAATTCAGTGAACAAGGGTAACATACAACAAACACAGCACTACCACACTGCTTATTCAAATGATCAATTTATCCATATTAATTATTTTTCGGTATTTACTTAACTTTTCTTATGCATGAAAACGGAATCAAACATTTTTTTAAACTTTTGTTTTTTTCATAATGCATGCAACAGAGGGTTAATTTCTAGGTATATTTCAAAATGTATGTGAAAAGTGTAAAATATCACACAGCGCTATTGCATTTCTCATTAAATTATCATTTTTTTCATATTAATTATTTTTCTGTATTTACCGTATTTTTTAAAATCCTCCCAATTCCCATATATAGCTTAATCATGAAAACTAAATCAAACTTTTTTTTAAACTATTGTTTTCAAAATGCATGCAACAAAGGGTTAAATATTCCAGGTACATTTCAATAGTTTAGTAAAAATAATGTAAAATCACACAGCACTATCACACTGCTTGTTTAAATGATTCATTTATCCATATTAATTATTTTTCGGTATTTACTTTACATTTAAAAGTCCTCCCAATTCCCAAATATAATTTTTCTTATGCATGAAAACGGAACCAACCATTTTTTTTAATAATGCATGCAACAGAGGGTTAAATATCACTCTAGTTACATGTCAATAATTTAAAAAAGTGTAGTAAAATATCACACAGCACTCATTCATAATCCTCTACATTGGAGTAAAACACTCACATATGCAACTATATCTCGTGCTAGCTGACTAAATAATGTCTTTCGTTAGCCCTGAATAATAAATAATTAAAAATGCATGTTGTCATGTTTTATTTCTGATTACCAAAGTTCTTTCATAAAAAATGTTGATTGCCTGATGCTTCTTAAAAGTTTAGTTCGTTCTTTCAAATGATATAGCAAATGTATTTCAATTTCAAATGATTTATTGATACTGAAAAATTGACTAGCCAATGGCGATTCTATTGCCAGTGTATACATACACTGTAAAAAATGACCGTGAATTTAACGGTAAAAGAGTGACTTTCTCATCACCACATGCATTTGGTGGTTATCAGTGTATTACAAAGGTACAAAACAGATTTCAGTACTTCAATAGGTTGGTATATTAACATTATATCAGTTAATGAAATTACGGTATTTAACTGTAAATTTAAGTTAAAACGGTAAAACCTAAAACGTTGCTACTGTATTTTTTACGGAAATATTCTGGCAACCACAGCTGCCGGTTTTTTACCGTAAATTTTACTGAATTTTTTTACAGTGTACAGTAGAGGGTTGATTCAGTAATCTGTTCTCTCCCAAATAAATATGTCTGCTGAAGTCAGTGAATTGACTTCAGTGGGGTCTATAAATACGTTGATTTCAGTAGAGCAAAGATCAGTGTTCACTGGACCAGAGCTCTAAACACGTGGCTGGATACTGTGCATCACTGGGAGTCTATGAGAGCATCATGAGCACTATTTGCACCAAATCACCTGATTGTTTATTGGACAGTGAGGCTTGCATTGAAGTATTTTCCTCCTAAGAAATCCGGAAGCTTCTCTGTTCAACGATTGATTGAGTTTTAAAAGAAATGTAGCAAAAACTGCCAGTGATATATAGTAGTCAACATTTGAAGTGGATCAAAGAAGTTCATCAAAGACAAGAATGGTTATTGTTTTGGTTTTAGAAAAGGTTTTGATCCACTTCAAATGTTGATTATACTGTAGATGACTGACAGTGTTTGAAATTAAAAACTCTTCGCAGTCTGGAGATGCAGTTAGTTCAAGTCTGTCACAACACATTCGGGTCAGTGCTCATAATCTTATCTTTTGCCTGCTGGCATTTGTAAATAATGCAAAAATGCAATTCTGAGCTTGGTCAATTATTGGCATCAAGTATCGTCACCGTTTAGTTTGAGAGGCAGCAACACTGAAGACACAAAAAAAAAAATAAAAATTGGTTGAAGAACAAATGTTGCAATATAATAACTGACAACTGCGCTTCATCACTCTTTGCACGATCAGACCACATACTGTAACGCCATCAGTCCTGTTGCATTTGGTAACCACAGTTCACCTGTAGATGTCACTGCTCTGCTCTTGAAATGGAGAAATCGTGACACATTTAAGGCTTAAATATCACTCACATTCATGTCAGCTTTGACTTTCAGCGTATCAAACTGTGATATCACATCAATTCCCATTCCTGGTGCAGTTGTGTGGAATAATAATATGGTGCTTTTGAGAATATGAACCCCTGACAGCAGGTTCAGGAGTTCAATTGCTGGCAACAAAACTAGAGAGTGAAATTAAAATGTTAAAAATGCACCCTCCAGCGAATGAGTATGATAAAAGCAGTAGGGCTAGGCGATACGACCGTATATTTATATTCATGTGGCTATCAGTAGCAGGACTGCCTTACATTATTTAAATGCGACAGTGATGGAAAAACACAGAATATTGTGAAAATATTCTGCTCTCGGATTTCATCAAAAATATCTTAATTTGTGTTCTGAAAACTGAACGAAGGTCTTACATTATTGTGACTTAATTTCTCACAATGTGTCTTTATATCTCACAACTGTCACTATATATTTAGTTGTTCCTCATAATTGTGATTTATTATCTCACAATGTGCCTTTACACAGGTGTGCCTTTACACAATTGCAAGGTTATTTATCGCAGTTGAGAGTTTATCTTCTGTGATTGTGATCTTATACCACTTTTTATTTATTTGAAACTTTATCTCACAATTACATGTTTTTGGTCATACCACCCCTCCCTAAGAAGAAGATCAACAGATCATTCCAAGGGAGGAAAAGAGCGTGTTTTAAATCACATGACATAAGGATGCAGGTGCACGGTGAAATCACCTCAAAACGACGCTTTCTCCTTCCAGCACGGTAATGTTGTCGGGCAAGTGTCCGAACTCGGCCGCCTGAGCACCGGTGGGCCCTGCCAAAGAAAACGAGAGAGGAGAGACAGTGAGCATACAGCAGTTATTCCAACAACAGAAGGTCCACTCCATCCCCGAGTCCCCCGGGCGGTAGGACGCCGGGTACTGAGTACCTCATTGATCCTGGTCAGGCAGGATTTGTTTTTGTGGTTTGCTTAGTTATTTGCAAGGAGAGAATAATAAGACCGCAAAATGACAGCATGGAGCCATCAGCGCTGACCGTCAGAGGGCTTGAATAATGATTGGGTTCTGGCCCGCGCGCTGCCTGGCCGTGCACTCGTCGAACAGACCCGATAATGAGCCCGGGGAAGAGGATTCGCACGGAAGCGGCAGAGCGTGAAATGAAGGAACCGCCACTGCAATGGGAACAAACACACACACTCGTGCATGAGCGCTGTCACTTGTGTACAAACACGTACACGTGCGCTTTCATATGCACAAATCAAACTACACACTGGGATACGAACAAACCGGGACATCAGAGGAAATGTGAATTTGCTCGGGCTGTTTGCAGGTGGCACCAACAACGTCAAATTCCTTTTTAGTTTTCAAACGCCATTCTTGTTCTTATCTATTTAGGGTGTGCAAAATACGCTCCAATTTCCTCTGCAAACAGAGATTAGTGTGCTATCGGCACTCTCTCGGCGTGGCTCCGTTGCTAGCCACGTCAACGCTGCCAAATGCCAGCGTGGCACCGTCTTCGAGTCCTGCTCATAATCCGTCCTTAATATCTGCTGGCCAATATTGGGTCATCCTGCCTTCGAGGTTTAATATACGAGACACAAGTGCAGTCAAGAGTTAAGAAGCACCCGGAAGGTCTGGGTGTTTAATGCGCAATGTGAAGCCCAGTGAACTAACGGCTTGCCAAGTGTGAGTGGAAAGGGGGAAGACAAAAGGAGACATGCGGCATTTGATGGCCAAGCGCTGGGCTTTTTTAATTTGAGACAAAGCCATGGCGGAGGCGCTCCAAATTGCACAGAGTAATGAAAAGAAGCATGGGCTCATTGGGCTGCATTGTCATGGTATCGTACACAAATTGCATAAAGCTGCTTTGCATTATCCGCTGAAGGGACCGGCAATGACATTGCTAAATTAAGTTTTCTCGACTTGCGGCACACAAGGGCACGGACTGATTTAAATCAGAGTAATTGCTTAATCATCTTTCATTATTAATCATTCCTTTTAAAGACAAGTGCTTCAGTTTGGCCTGCGCAGGCATGTGCAAATATGAGCTAGTATGATTTCTGCAGTATGTAGTATATAGGCCATGCATACAATTTTCTGTACCCACGCAATCTATTAGCAATAAAAATGATGGTTGATAGGTCTATTGCATTTGCAGTTCATTCATCACATTAGAAATGGAGTTTTAAAGGAGTGGTTCACTCAAAAGTGAAAATTTGCTGAAAATGTACTTACCCTCAGGCCATCCAAGATGTAGAAGAGTTTGTTTCTTCATAGGAACAGATTTGGAGAAATGTAGCATTGCATCACTTGCTCACCAGTGGATCCTCTGCAGTGAATGGGTGCCATCAGAATGAGAGTCCAAACAGCTGATAAAAACATCCCAATAATCCACAAGTAATCCACACCACTCCAGTCCATCAGTTATTTTTTTACTTCAAACCATTGCTTCTGGCTAAAATATGAGTCCTCTATCCATAATATTACTTTCTCCAGCGAAGAAGTCATCTCATTTGAATCAAGAGAGAAATCTGCACAGATCAAACACCATTTACAAGCCAAAACAGCTCTAAACAAATGTGAGAGACAACAAGAGATGGACTTTTTCACTGGAGGAAGCGTTATTATGGATTATGGACTCGTATTTTGACCAGAAGCAACAGTTTAAAGTTAAAACCTCTTCATGATGGTTTCTTACAAACACGCAGATTTCACTTCTCAAGATGTTAATTGATGGACTGGAGTGGTGTGGATTACTTGTGGATTATTGTGATGTTTTTATCAGCTGTTTGGGCATTCTGACGGCACCCATTCACTGCAGAGGATCCATTGCTGAGCAAGTGATGCAATGCTACATTTCTCCAAACTTGAGGAAGAAACAAACCCATGGGTGGACTGAGGACGAGTACATTTTCATTTAATCAAATTTTTTTGGGTGAACTATTCCTAAATTGAGAGCATTGCATTGTGGGATTTATGATATGCAATGTCTATAAATACAGACATTCTGCATACTGTGCACAGTATATGTACTATATACAGTACTGAGAAGCATATTAGTATGCATTGCAAACAGCCTATGAGTGGCACTTAAAAAACTAAATAAATCATCAATTTATTAATTACATGAAAAAATCTAAAATAAATGTAAAATTAAAAAGTGTTGTTTTTTTAATTGACAGACATAGCTATATACAAATAAAAATGTTAATTTTATTCATATATAAAGATATGGTTAGATGCAACAATAAAACACTTTTAAAAAGCATTAGCCAACTGCTTTTCTATATCTGCTTGCCAATCGAGTAAAAACGCCAGTGAACACGAACGGGCCCAAGACACACTTTGCATTACATTATACTAAATAAAATGAATCACAGATAATATCTCTGGCTCTTATAAATTGAAAAATTACTAATTTATTCCATCAGAGAACACTAATGTATCGTATACTGCTGTATCTTACAGCGCGACAAACCCAACATGACCTTCAGTTTCAAGTGTGATGAATGAGTTTTACAGAAGCACTTTTTTAATAAAATCTTTTTGACATATTTGCTCCGACAGTCAAAAATTAAGACATTTAAATGCAAAATAACCATATCTATTTCCAAGATCTCTAAAATTAACTCTCTAAAATTAAAAATGCAACTTGATGTTATGTAGCAGCAAATTAGCATACCACATTTTCCAATGCATATTTAAACAGCATGCAACATAGTATTCACCGTGCAGTTATTGGCATGCAAGTATTGCATTCTGAACATTTCTGAAATTCTCTGGCCTAAAAGCAAATTTATTTGCTATGCACTTCAGGATGCAGGATGCATTTTCCTCCCACTCAGAAAAGCCAAGGTTCCTTCTACTGTTGCGCTTTATTCTTGATGCATGAAACAACCTTGTAGACGTCCTGACAAATAACAGCACAGTTCAATGAAACGAGCATTAAACTTAAAGCATTGAGGGTTATTTTTCTCGTTTTACTCATTTCCGTTTCTTCTCTTTACACACGCACACTCTAGAATACTTTGCATCAAACGGATGATGCATGCACACTGTAATGTCCCAATGCATTGTGGGGAAAGTTATAAAACAGAGGGGGTTATTCCCTATTCCCTTTTCAATTCTTATCTTCACAGCTCAATTGGCACCTCAGATTTTAATACCTGGCAGGTTCTGCTCCCCAGCCTGGCGTTTTATATCTCTAGCTGGGTCAACACTCACACGCCGCATGCACAAATATGCTTGATTATGAAGCGCTCCATGCTATTTTCCCTTTGTTGTGCAAACCACATCGGTCTTTTCCCAGGGTGTTCCCTGCAGAAATGAGACGACGAACCAGATTTGCTTACTGGGATAAAAGAATATTTGGGGGCAGCGAGGAATCCAACTTAGAGTAACATATTACAGGCAGAAAAAAAATCACATTCACTTGTAGTCTAAGATCCAAAATCACTATAGAAATGAGGGTGAGTAACTATTTCTTTAAAAAGACTGCGGAAACGTACCAGATATGTACAATACAATGTAAAACAACACTGTAGATAGGCAGATTTAACTGTAGTATAAATGTGAGGGCAATCATGGGTGTGCTACAGGATCCACAACATCAGAGTTTCACCATCTCAGAGCTGTCAAAATTCAATCTAGATCCCTATGAACCGAAGACAGCATGTGAAAACAGCTGTGAAAGATTCAGTACAAAGTCGCTGATTGACATATAAAAGAAACAGACCAAAGTTGTTCATTTTCTGGCTCTATCTCGAATTTTATGAAGGATTGTAGAATTTTTGTTTTTCAAATATATATAATTATATACATATAAAACTGTTAATTTAATAAATGTTAAAAAATGCAACAAGTAATAAAATATTTTTAATGCAACTTTTATATTGCATTTCAAAAAACCATTTGTCAACTAATTTTTAAGCCAATCAGTGAAAAAAAATTATTTGACAGTTAATTTTTTCCCGAAATAAATATACATAGTTATATACATATAAAACTAATTTACATAATGTTTAGTTAAATGAAAAAGATAATAAAATATTTTTAATGCAACTTTTATATTGCATTTTAAAAAAGCATACATACATATATATTATTTGACAGTTCATTTTTTCAAAATAAATATACATAATTATTTACATTTAAAAGTGTTAATTTATTTAATGTTTACAAAGTGTAGTTAAATGTAACAATAAATAATAACATATTTTTAAAATGCAACCTCTAAATTGCATTTTAAAAAAGCATATGCCAGCTGCTTTTATATATCCATTAGCCAATTGGTTAAAAAATAATAATAATAATAATTTAACAGTTAATTTTTTTTATCTCAAATAAATATCCAGTATAAAATTATACATATAAAGATACATAAATATACATACATAAACATACATAAAATATTTATATATACATATAAAATTTTTATTTTTGTAACTTAATATTGAAATATGTAGTTAAATTATTTTTAATGCAACTTTTTGTTTTTGCATTTGTCATTTGTTTTCAAGCATTTGTTAAATGCTTTTCCATATCCATAGCCAATCAGTAAAAAAAAAAAAAAAATAGCATTGGACAGGTGCACAAATAATATCTCTGCTGCTTAAAAATTAAACTATTATTAAAAATAAAATGATGATTGATTTGCCAAAGAACACAAATGGACACTATTGTCCAATATTTTCATTTTCAGTGTGAAGAATGAACCGAAATAATTTTGAACAGCATTTTTTTTTTATTAGACTGACAAAGGATTTTTTTTTTTTTTTTAGAACAAGATGCAAAATAACAATTTATTAACAAGGTC